CTTGTTGATCGGCTCCCAGCTTAAGAGTCACTAGCAAGCCTCTTCTTTGTTTGTTATCACTGCTTTTCCCTGTCACCCCAGTCTGCTTCGCTCAGTTAGCTCTGTGGGAGGAACTTGAAAGCCGACCCTTGTAAGAAAAAAAAAAAAAATCACACGTTCACCCAACACAGTATCAAAACAAAATATCTTTGCTTTCGTTTTGAATATGAAGGACAATGGTTTTCACTCCCCTACTCTGTCTTGTCTGAAAACTATTTTATTGTTGCTGTATCTTTGCCAAAACAAATACTGACCCACTTTTTACCTGATATCTCAGTACTTTACTCAGAACTTTCTGCGCAGTTTTTCCCGTGTGTATTGTGTATCATTTTCACTGTCTTAAATAGAAATGTTCAAATATACATTTTCACACAGTTCTCCTAGTGCTGCAAGTTATATGATGCCTAAGTTTGGAGCTATGAAGAGAGGTAACACACAGAAAAAGGAAAAACTGGTGAGTCAAGGAAATGCCTGTGTGAAGATGATAAGCCTGCCTCAACACGAGCAGCTTTGTCTTCCCTTCCTTTTCTGCAGCTATTTGTGTACAGGTACGCTTACTAAAAACATTACTCATTTTGGTTCAGAAACCTTTAAGAAGGTTTCTGTTACTGCAGTTTAAGTTCTGTGTTTTTGGCATGTTATTTACATTTCACTTTTACATTTACAGGAAACTTAATATGCTTGAAAGTGATCAGGGTAAGACAGATCAGGACACATGCTGGTGGAAGGATTGTTGGAGTATTTTCTCTGCTTTTATCAAAGAATAATTTATTATTGTAGACATCCAGCTGATCACAGATGTGACCCGGGCCTTGTTTTTGGCGTATATTTTTATCAGAGGGAAGAAGTAACATCAGTATCAGGGTCTGTTGTGCCCCAGCAGTGACCTCAACTTCCTGTTGTGACGTCAAACTCCAAATGTCACAGATGACTCAAACTGAGACAACCAAATGTTCTCCACTGTAGTCAACTTAATGGAAACTTTAGAATGTTCTTTTCAACCTTGAGGAGGACTAACAGGTTATGTTTAATCTATGTTTCAGTGAAAGTCGGAGACCATCCTCCATTAATTACATTTCTTTACATTAGAACTGAAGAAGCTTCTCGGATGAGAGGTGAAACGTCTTCAAGTAACTTAAAGAAGTCCAGACGCTTTTCCTTGCAAGCTCCTTTGACTACGATGACCTGGATGGCTGAGAACCTTCACAGACATTTCTTTACATTTTTTTCCTCTTCTCCTGTCCGGCAGTGTGTCAGTCAGAATTGTTATCTGAAGGCCAAAAAAGGCCCAACAGATTTACTTTCCCAGGTGGATCATTATGATATTTTGCATAATGTTCCACTTGATAGTCATAGTTTATTAGAATTTTATTAGGATTTTTTATTTTGAATTATTATAGTTACAACAGACAACACTAGGGGATGGGAAAAAAGAAGAAAGAGAAGTTGGGAAGGAATTTAACAGAAGGAGAGGGAGAGAAAAATAGAGGAGAAGAAGAGGGATAGAGACAGAAAGGGAGACAACCGACATATGCATAAATAATAGTAAAGAATAAATAATAACAGTAAAGAATAAATAATAACTGTTACTGAAAAGCACACAGTACTAATAACACAAGATATTTTTAGAAGCAGCAGCCGACCAACATAATGTGTGTCTGTGACCCTCGATGTCTACAGGCTGTTTTAAAATTGAGAAGTGGGCACCAGCACCAGTGGTGATGCTGAATGAACAGACCCCCCCTCTGGACACCATGCCCACCCCCAAGGACCTAAATGCATGTGTAATGAGTGTCATGAGGCACAAGTGGCCGTGAGGGGACAGAAGAGGAATACTTCCTCAAGTCATTACAAGTCATTTGCGACCAGTTAAATATCACCCATTTTGTCTACCACGAACAGTGGTGACGTAGGCAGAAATCGCTTTTTTCATAGTCATACTAAGCATGATCCCCCGCCTTCTTTTCTTAAAAGTGGTGCGAGTGGTATGCCTAAAATAACTGCATCTTTCCTGTGTCGTCGCATTGTGTTACTTTCTGTTTCTATTTTCTAATGACAAACAGTTTAAGTTTAAAACTTCCAGAAAAGAACTAACAAAAAATTTATAAACTTCATGTATTCATGCCAAATCATAACAGCTCCCTTGAAGGCTCAAATAATGAAGAGAATGGTAAACATGAAGCTACACAATACATGCCCACCTACTCATATTGGGCTGTTAAAAGGAATAATTTCAAAGACTAATAATTTGATTAACCAATTATTTAAAGTCCTTTAGATTTGTTATAAAAATATAGTTGTGTATTAGTATGACTTGATTTTAAGTCACTTTGTTCACACAAACCCTCAGACTACTCATTTTTTAAGTAAGACGGATATCACAACATCAAAATTTATGCGGATTTATATGATTTGTGTGTGGTCAAACAAATCATGGTAATATCTATAAAATGCCATTATAAATAAACTTAAATTTTAGACGTACTAAAGTACCGCAGTAGATTTAAAGAATATATTTGGTGAATGATAAATAAAAAAAATTTAGCCACCAGGGGGCATTGGTTACAATGCAGCTTACTGAAATTAAGTATAAAAAATAAATTACTTGTGCTGTTGTTTCTATGTAGGAGGTGTGTTTCGGGCTTGTGGTTCTGTAACAAGGAATAAATGACCTAATAATAAACAGATAAATATTTTCTGTATAAACCTGCAATGTAACGTCTATTTGGACATGATTTTATTTTTCTGACTGCTTATTTCTCAAATATAACGCCAGAAATTAATACTTAAAATAAACATACTATTTATATGTACTAACATATAGAAAGTTCTATATGTCTACACAGTGAACCAACAATAAAGTCACAAAGTATTCACCAAACGGTGCAAATCATATCAGCTTGTTCAAACCTCAGCACACAAAGTAGTAAACTGTCCGATGACGCAAATATAAACAACAGTGACCACGTGGAAAGTTGCACCAAACTATGCTATCACGAAAACAGTATGAATTTATTTACTGATGGTGTCTGCACGCACACTTCTGGACGCACAGAATTTATTACCCCTCATGAGAACTTACTTCCAGGGGTAGGCAACTCCAGGCCTCGAGTGCCGGTGTCCTGGAGGTTTTAGATGTGTCCATGATCCATCACAGCTGATTTAAAGGGCTAAATGACTCCTCAGCATTTCTTGAAGTTCTCCAGAGGCCTGGTAATGAACTAATCATTTGATTCAGGTGTGTTAACCCAGGGTGCGATCTAAAACCTGCAGGACACCGGCACTCGAGGCCTGGAGTTGCCTATCCCTGCTCTACAGTCTTTCCACCATGATCCCTTTCCACTAGTAGTCTCCTCGTGCCAGCAGGGAGCACTCTGATTGGCTTTCGCTTGATAGTACATTCAGTCTGTCACAGGAGGCTATCCTTCTTCATATGAAGGGATCTCTCTCTCCTTTAATCTCAGACCCCGCTGTCGTCATCTTTCACATTATTGCTGACTTGTGGCCACAATTGATTATTGCTGTTGAAAGCTGCGCTTATTTCATCTCATAATAAAGTGCAGTCTTCTCTTTCTCTGAGGGCGTGTCCGTGTCCTGTTAACAAAGCTGGGCTAGCTGAGAGGCCAGCTCAGCTTTCACAGTTATGGCATCAGTTATTAGCAATTAATTAAATGAGCTTTAGTGATTTAGCTATGAATTTTCTTGCTACCCCTTCGGTACGACTCGTGCATTTGTGATGCAGAGAAGATGGAGTTTGAAAAAAAAAAGTTAATAATAATAATAATAATAATAATTAATAATTAATAATAATAATAATAATAATTATGATCATGCTAGTCTAATAAAACAGGCATGTTGATCAGGTGCACGCTCACAGCACTTTCAGTTTAACAAATTATGGAAATTACTTAATAATATTAGTAATTTTATTATATAATATTAATTTATTCAATTATATATATAATAAATATAATATAATATAATAATAATATATTACGATTTCATTATTAATAATATAATATAATAATAATAAGCTTACCTGAGCTGTTTTGCAGCTTTCATTTTCATTTTTCATTCATATATTTATTGCCCCCATGCATATTGACAGTATGTAATACCCAGCCTTTTAATTCATCGGATTTTTCTATTAGTATTGTAATACACTTTTTGAAAATTCAAGATGTAGACCTGTTTTTCTGATTTTTTTTATATGTACATTGTCCTCACAGGACACCCACAACAAAGGTGTGATTTCTAGAATATAATACTGTAGGTTAAACAACAATTTATTTGTATCGTCAGCATACTAAGAGCTGGGAATAGGATTTCTGTACTACGACCCAGGTACACCACAGTCAGGATTACTGACCTGCTTCTAGATTAGGCTTGTGTTTTCAACTTGGTCATCATTTAATCTTTTCCTCTCCAGGTTTAGTTTAAAGGTGTAGAGCTGCTCCTTTTCAGCTGTTATACTTTTGTTCCCCCAAACAGCTTTTGTGACTCCCATGCACAACCTTTTCTCCTAAACACAATTTATAGACCAACATGTAGAAAGATTATGCTTTTTCACATAATTTAATGTACAAATTTTAAACTATGAGCCTCAACGCGACATCAGAAGTGTTCATCAGGAAGGCCTTTAGTATTATAGACTCAGAAAATAAACATCATGTGCTAGTTATAGAGCCAAAGTAAGCAAGAGGAAATTTAAGTGTGCTGATTTTTGCCTGCAAAATAAGTGTGTTATCTTAACATCTAATCACACAGCAGTGTTTATTGTGTGTACAACTGAGACTACAGTTCACATGGTTTCACACAGTGGCATTCCATCCTAATAATGTTCATCCAGGATCAACATTGCAGCTAACCCTTCATGTCATTGTGATTTCATAGCTTTAGAATGTGGAGGGAAAAGAAGAAAATGCCACAAAAACTCTCTTCTGGAATAAATGGTAAATGTTTCGGATATTTTCTTTATTATTTATGCAACAAAACAAGTATATTATCAAGTTAGGTTTACTCTTAGCAAGATTTAGGTCACTCATGTTGATTGATTTGTGCTAGTTTTTAATAGCAATAGATAACTTCTTGGCTAATCACATCATGCATCATGGATGTGCTGCTGAGAAATCTGTAGTAACGGCATAATGCTTTCATGTCAATATAGACAAAATTGTTGAGGAATGTTTTCAGCACCTTGCTGAACATATTACATGAAGAATTAAAGGCGTTCTGGAGGCAAAATGGTGTCAATTTCAGTACTAGTAAGCTGTTCTTAATAAATTGGCCTGTTAGTGCTTTCTTTTTTAATATCCAATTGTATATGTGTCTCACACACATAAACTAAACAAAGATAAAATCAGGTTCAGGTAAACTGCAAGTTTTAAATGAATAGAATAGGTATTTTTGATTTCTCTTTGGATAGCAACCAAGGAGAATCATTTTCCTCATGATTGGCTACAAAAATAAAAAGTCATAATTACTTATTGCTAACCCTTAGTCTACGTGTTACGTGTTAACAAGACACTGCTCAGTGTCTTTCTCTTGAAAGTTTTAAAATGAAACCTAGACTGTGCAGCCTTGGACATGAAAAGGAAAAGGAAGGGATCCAGACAGGCATGGACACAGCACAAACACACTGCCACATTAAAGTACACATACAAAGTTTCTGTTCCATCCACAAACAGTTGGACATAATGGACAAAGTGTAGGACTCCAGGGGGGACAAAGCACACCAGGAAGATACTAAACACCAGTGTGCTTGCTTTGATGTACGTCACCCAGTCAAAATGTGACCTTGTGAGCTTGTTGATGATTCGGGCAAAACACACAGCTATAACAACCAGAGGCACCACAAGAAAAAAGATGATAAGAATCAGGTGATAGTAGAGTAGAAACATGTGAGAGCTGTGATCCAGGGGCAACACATCATGGCAGGTTGTGCGGTTGAGCTGAGGGAGCCAGTAGCTCTGCTGGACGATGAGCTCTGGGATGATGGCGACACCAAACACCCCCCACAGAGCCAGGCTCACCCAGGCAGCGCACATTCTCTTGGGCATACTTTTGTACAGGAACGGGTACACCACAGCAAGGTGCGCTTCGATGCTGATGCAAGCCAGTGTCTGTAGCCGAGCAGTAGAGATTGCCGTAGAAACATGCCGTAACAACTCGACAAGCAGTCTCTCCGAGAACCCAGTGGTTTCCATGGAAATGGTAGTGAGCCTTAAAGAAGAGGGAGAGGAGGAGGAAGAGGTCGGAGACAGCCAGGCTGCAGTAGAGGATGGCAGAAGACACCTTTCGGATTTTAGTCACTAGCAAACACAAGATACTGACGTTGGCTGGAATCCCAACTGTAACCACCAACATGTAAATAATGGGAATGACTCGGGTGCTCAGAGAACCACCGAGGTACCGCACTGTGCTGTTGTTGAGCAAGTTCAGAGCTGGAGGGGAATAATTTAGAAAGGAAGCCTGAGTCCCATTTACACAGGGCTGATTGTTAATGACTGGGGCCCCTTTAAATGTTCTGGGCATGGGAAAAACAACCTCAGAGCTGTTTTTCTGCTCCCTCCGTGTCTTTTGTCCTGCAAAAAACAAAAAACAAAAACAAAAAACAATACAAAAATGAAAGTTACATTAAAAATATAAATGATTTTCAAATATATTTGTACCAACATATGTACTGATATATTTTGTTAATAGAAAACCGTTTTCAGTGCCACGCTTGTTTTTTCTGCGCTTGAAAAATCAAAGATGAATATGCATGACAGAAAATACGGGAAGTTTTCAAACTGACAGAGCTGCACAAGGCAATGTTTGGCTAACTATTCAAAACCATTCTATAATAAACCATTCAATGGCAAAATCATGTGTTTTTATAATTGTTTCAGCAATGCAATGCCAGTCTTCAGACTCACAACATGCAGAGGTGATATCAATATCCTTTTACTCAAAATATCTCAAACTGCAGAGATGATATCAACATTCTTTTACTCAAAATATCTCAAACTGAGACCAATATCAGGAAGCCAAAACATTAACTTGTTCCTTCCATATGATAAGAGCTGTGCTTAACATACGTTTCAGTAACAGTCAGAGATATCTGAAAGAAATGTGTGACTGAAAGTATCCATCCATCCTCTTTCGCTCATCCTTGTCAGAGCTACAGGGGGCTGGAGCCCATAATATGTCAGATATAACACATTTATCTGATATGACAAAACAAAAAAGGACAAAAGGTTTATTTACAGCAAACTAATAATCATGACATATTAATATTTATGCAAAGGAATTTCATGATAAAGTTTATCTATACATGACCTGGTGTTACCAGTTGTTCATGGTCTTATTCTTAATTTACCTTCAACGATTTTCATGAAAAGTACTTTTTACAAATTGGCCATTGCAGTGAATCAAACCACATAACGTTACAATAAACACATATTACAGTGCTGTGTAGAGGATTCAAGCTCTTTCTTAACATATTTCTTCCAATAGCCAGACTACCTTGTAAATATTTTAAAATTATCTTAATTGATAGTTCTCCAGAGTTTCTTTGGGCGCTGGCTGCTTCTTCACTCATTCCAACTTATAAAAGGAAATGGAGTCCTCTGTACTTGACACTAGGGACAGAATATTGCTTAGGTGCTTGAAATTTTATATAATGGATTATCTCATCCTCTACACAGCTGACAGCTATAACAATAACAGCTGGTTATAAGCTTACATCATGCTGGGAACGTGTTAGTGTTCCCGCATATGAGGTAAAGAAGGGGGAAGGAGTGAAGGAGATGGAGGTCTGGGCTGTTAAGCTTTGGCTGCTCTTCCCACAATTTGGCCCATGGATAAGAGGAAGAAAATGGATGGATGAATGGCCAGGATGTTGAAACTCCCAGAATGGTCTTACTGTAATTTATTTAGTTTTCTTTAACTAGTGTTATAAGAAAACCTTGCATTTTTTAAGGATGTAGTGATGCTGGTTAATTAAGTATAAACATACATGTGTATGTTATATGTAGGGCTATGCTGTATATTTGGCAGACAGAGTTGTCAGAATGGGAAAAGGCAGTAACTGACTGTAATCCATGTGGGAATGTTTTCACATTGTGTACTGTAGCATTCTTGTATGAGGATGGCTTACATCCCTTTAAGGGTTGAAGCTGAAGTACCAAGCCCATTTTTAAAATGTAAGGAGTAGAAAGTACAGATATTTGTGTTAACATGTAGGGGGTAAACATAAAAAAAATTTGAGAAAAAGAAGTACTCAAGTAAAGTACAGATACCCCCAAATTCTAAGTATAACACATTTGTACATTATTACTTCTCAACTCTGACCCTATGGACGCTGAAAGTTAATTAATCGTAGAATTAGCGGCAATCAAGCCAGCTTGCTAAATTGAGAGCTTATCTTTTATACTTGGCTCTCTCTTCACCACGGTGGACCAGCACAGCATCTGCATCACTGCATCTGCATCACTGCAGCCATGACCCCAATCCATCTCTCAGTCTCTTGCTCCGTCTCCCCTCATCAGTGGCCTTTCATTATTTTTTCTACCAGTAGGTGTATTAGTTTTTAAAGATTTTCTAGAGAATGGACTGCAAACTCTGTGTCTGGTGTAATAAAACAAACAGCACAAAAAAAAAAAAACCAGACAGAGATGCACTTGGCAACATCTGGAAGAAGTAACTATTGTTCTTCCCGATGTTGCCATCCTGTGGTGGATGTTTGAAACGTTAGGTAAATGTACCTTACAACCATAAATTGAGAACATTCAAAAGACAGTAACAAAGAACATGTTTAATGGCACCCTAACATCCCAAGAGAAAACTTTAGTCAAACTCCATTATTAAATTAAGTTTGTGTTTTAACCACCCACCTACATCATTAAGCGGTAATTTCACATTCCTATCTGTACTGCAAAAGAGTTCTTGGGTATGTTGTATGCTATCTAAATCTGGTTTTTGGGCTGGCTAAAACAATATCCATATTTAGATGGGTTCTAGTCAGCTGTACGCAAACAAAATTATTCTGTGTCTGCGCTGCTGTATCATAAAATACCTTGTCTGCTGTGTCCAGTGGGGTCAGATGGAATATATTATATATATTTTATACCTCAGAAATTAGTACCCCCAACCCAACACATGCACACTCTTACTTCAGCACCCTCAACTTCAAGTACCTTCCCATGGCTCTGACGTCCAGGGATTTTTAGCAATATAACACCTTTCACCTATTTCTGCAAAGGTTAAAATTTCCAGTAATACAGAATATATAAAAGTCTATCTGCACTCTTCTACATAACAGTAGAAGAGAAGCTACTACTACTACTAGTACTAGTAGTAGTAGTATCCCTTGTTTACAAGGGGTTACCACAGTGGGTAGTTTTGCATATTTTATTTATCAAATTTTTACACCAGATGTTAAAAAGGTGCAAACTACTACACTATCATACAGCAGGTGTCATTTAAATCTTGTAAGCCCAATACTCCGCTGCCATGGAATTCTGTGTACTGTCACTAGAGGGCAAGGTGAGGGGAAAATGTGTTGTTCACAGTCATGTGCCAAAACTGTATTGTGTATTTTTTGGGGGAGAAAGTGCTTGCTAAATTCCTCTTTAGTTACTTGGTTAGTAAAAGTGTGGTATGATACAGCCAAAGAATAAACAAAAAAACAGGAACACTTTCAAACACTGAATATACTAAAATAAATCAGTACTCCAGGCTATTTCCTTTGACATCAGCACTTTTGTCTGATCAATGTCAACCTAGGAAATTAATTATTGTCAATAGAGTCTTGAAACAAGAAAGATGACATTTATGTGACTCTCTAAAAAGTTATGCGATTGTGTTTTTGTCATCTTGATCCTATCTGTGATAGAAGAAAGGATATTTATTCAAGGTACATGTAGATGTATGCTTGCTAACAGGAACATGCTGAACTTTTTTTTATCTCAATCTTTTTTAAGCGTTAATGAAAAGTGAGTGGGGGTGGGGGCACTTTTCTCTTCTTTTCTTTTAAATCACTGGACCAATGCTCTTTCTAGAAACAGAAAATATTTTTGTCCAGTTGCACAGATGTTTGCTGTGTGTATCTTCCTGTTTTCTGGTCGCAGATGTTGTATTTTATTTAGTAGTGTAGTTTAGTTTAGCAGACTGCAAGTCTAAAAAAAATAAGTTCCTCATTCTGTAATCTTTTCAAGCTGAAATATTCTATATCTAAGTACTGTTTTTGGATTTCACAGCTGTAGATCAACAGATGCTAAAATCTGATATATGTGTCTCTCTCTGCAGTTGACATAAGTTTTCAGACACACATTCTCCTTATAAAAATAAGGAGAGTAGATGAGTAGTCAGATTGTGTTCAGCAGAAAGTATGTGGATCCCTGTGAACCAGCTCAGACACAGATCAGTTCTCATATAATACCCCCTAAAGATCTTTAGCATCTTTTAGCTACAACTCCCTTATTTACAAGGGGTCACCATATAGTTGATTTGACAGAGTATTGCAACAGATAGTCTTCCTGACACAGCTGTCAATGCATTAATGGCTCCTCTCATACTCAAACCAGAGATAATTTGTTTGATAGTTAGATATGTGAACTACTTACCCATGTAGCCACTTGCTCTCACGGAGAGGAATAAAAGAAACCCTTAAATCCTATCAAACAAGTAAGCCTGCCTTAGAAAATTGAATATGGATGGACATTTTTCTCTTCAATTCAATTCAGTTGAATTTTATTTATATTGCACCAAATCACAACAACAGTTGCCTCAACCTGCTTTATATTGTAAGGCAAAGACCCTACAATAATACAAAGAAAACAGAAAACCTGTTAGAAAAATTATCTTATGAAGTGAGACACACAGTAGTGTGTCCCAATGCGTTTATTTACTTGCAAGGAAGCAATAGCATACACAGTGAATGTCTATGTGAGTAAGAGGAGAGGATACCACATTACAAAGAAATATTGAGTAGCTGTTGGATCTGGCTTTCCTAGTGGACGTGACTGAAAGAATTAACCAGCTGAACTAGCAGTTGCATGGCAGAGAGTAAACAGTGTGTGAAATGATCAGTGCTGTGAAGGTGTTCACAGCTAAATTCTCATTTTATATCCAGCAGATACTAAATAAAAGACTTAAGCACTTCATCTCAGTTGCAAAGATACTGGAGTCCCATTTAGGAGCAGAAAAGGTATTTAATGGACACGGATTCTGTGATCTGGTATCCAAACTGGGACAGGAGTTTTCAGACAGATTCTATGGCTTTGAGAAACTGGAGCCCGCTGAGACTTTTATTGCTAACTCCTTCCTAGATGTTGACATTAGTGAGTTGTCAGGGCAGATGACTGAGCTTTTCAGTGTTGGTCCTTGTCACGGTCCTGGGTCTTATGACCCAGTGTTTTGAGTTTTAGTTCATTTTGATGTTTATAGTTTATGTTAAGCCCTTCAGGTTTTCTAAGTTCATTTGTTACCATGCCTAGGTGATTTTAGTTCTTATTAATTCCCCCTCGTGTTTCCAA